ATCGATTTGGAGATGGGTTTCTTGATTTGATTGTGGGTTTTATGAAATTTGATGGTGGATATCTACTAGATTTGAAAAGAGGTAGCTTTGGCGTTCTGTCCTTCCGTTTAGATATTTCGTTTTCTTATATGAGGTCTACTCGGTGAATGTATGATTGTGCTTAAAGTTCATTGTTTGATTTGGAAATGTTTTGTTGAAACATAACAAAAATATAGCTTTCTTAATGGCCCTCACTCTTGTTTGTTTCTTTTGACTCTAAAAGGGTGAGTTCTTTGCTTAGTCTAGGCGGACATAAGAAAGAAAAGAAAAAGATAATTCACCGAGTAGTTTGCTTTTTATTTTGAAAATGCCCTTAGAATTGAGAAAAAGTATTTCTTTTTTGTAATTTTATGTGATTAATCACTCAATATTTAGCAAGATCGTTGTTGGATGCTTTGGTCAACACTAGATGCCAATGACAGTCATAAAGAATGAAATTGATGTAATTACTAGTTCTAGATTTTGGTTTTGCATTTGCTTGTTCCACATTGGAGATAGCATCACAACTAAAAATTTGTAATTTGGATTTCCTGCGTGTGCTTGTAAAGCTGAGCCTTGAGTGAAGGGCAGAGAGCTTTAAGCTTGGCTCTTCTCATAGTGCTTCAGACATCTGTTGCCTTGCTAATACTTAAAAGGAATGGTTTAGTTCCTTTTATTTGTAAACGGAAAAAGCCAGACAATTTTACATTTTAAGGACTTTCTTTTGAGAGTGTCTACAAGAGCCTGAGAGACAGTGAGGCACAGATATTGATCATTTTGCTTTTACTTAAGATGTTGTATAGTGGTTGCCTCATTTATCGGAGACGTATGGAATGTCCTTCAATCTTTTCCTACGTATGTAGGATCATGAGCAGGACTTTTCACAATGACTAGGGGAAAACTAAAAGATGTTTCTGGCTTGGTTCAATCCTAGATATTATTTCATACCTTGCTTTCCCAAGATATCTTTCCTACATCTTCTTTGGTCTCTAGCATATAAAGCTTTCATCATATTGGGAGATTAGTATTTAAAATTATAGTTGTTTAATTGTTGGTGTATGCATTCACTGAAATCTGGGGATGCTGATTGAAATCCCATAACTTACCACCAGATATGTACTTTATTTTTTTTTGTAGTGACTCCTCCATCTAAGGTCTTAGATGAGTTCAGCTTTACATCTTCTGTACTAGTAAAATCACTGAGAATGATCCATCTGATAATTGTTATTTTGATTTAGGGGTAAAGATGACAACAACCGTGACACTTACCTCCCCTTGTATTGTCAAATCTGCACCCCGGAGCCCGTTTTCAAGTTCCATTTTCAAGAGGCCTACATCTCTGGGATCTCTTAAGAGCATCACCAAGTCTTCTGGCTTGAAATGTTCCTCTAATTTCAGAGCATCAATGTCAGTGTACAAGATTAAGCTGATTGGACCAAATGGTGAAGAGGACGAGTTTGATGCCCCTGATGACAAATACATCCTAGATGCAGCTGAGGAGGCGGGAGTTGAGCTGCCCTATTCTTGCAGGGCTGGAGCATGCTCCACCTGTGCTGGGAAGCTGGCTTCAGGTTCCGTGGACCAGTCTGATGGTTCCTTCCTTGATGACAACCAAATGAAGGAGGGTTATCTTCTGACCTGTGTCTCATACCCTTCTTCAGACTGCGTGATTCACACTCACAAGGAAGGTGATCTTTACTGAGTATTTCAGTGTTCACAATCAAGTTAGTTTTATACCATCATAATTTGAAACATGTGGAGGTTAAGTGCTCCTGGACCTTTTGTTGTCTAGTGTTATTATCATGTTTGGTGGAGAATAATATCTCAGATTTTAAAGATGGTTCTGAAATGCTGTCCTTGTTTTTTTTGGCAACGGGAATGCTTTCCTCTGTACTGTATTGTGTCTTTCAGTGTATTCAGGCGAAAACCTTAACACAGACAGATCGCCTTCCCACCATAGATGACTCCTTATTTTGTGCAGTCATCCCGTTTTCAACCTTGATAGCAGCATCTAAGAGCCCAACAGGTTTTTGTTTTTAGGATCCACAAAAACTCAACAGTTGATTATCCAAGAAAACATCAAATAAAAAACCAAAGTCATAAACATACTTTTATATATTAAAGGATTATTTTAAATAATAAAATACTAACCATTTGATGAAGAGAGGGTCTCTTAATATTGAAAGCTTTATCCTCGTCAAATAATCTCTGTTTTACAATTCAGATGGTAAAACAGTGCATTCTTTATATATAACCTACTTAAGGTCAGCCAACCATTTTTCAAACACATTGGTTCAAGTTTCGAATACACGTTAAGAAGAAGAATTGTAGGTCTTGAATGGGCACTTTGCGGGCTGTGGCCCCATTTTTCATTCTCTATGTTTAAGTTTCTAGACAGGCCCATGACTCCACATATGAAGTGAGTTTATATGCTAGCAAAAACCTACCTTTAGCCCCTTACTTTATTTTATAACACATTTAACCCCTCACCTTACTAAATTTGTAGGTTTTAGCCTTTTACTTATTAAAATCGAAGAAAATAACTCTCACTTTATACTGACTGCTAACTTTATTAGTTGAAATTATTAGTTGAAAGTAAATTTTTATCAATTAATAGTTAACTAATAGTCAGTTAATAAAATAAACGAAATATTATAAAATTAGTTCTGTTAATTTTGCTAGCTAAAAGAAGGTTTTTATCAGTTAACAGTTAACTAACAATCAGTTAATAAAATTAACAGTCAATTAATAGAACTAATAAAATGTTACAAAATGAGAGTTATTTTCTTCAATTTTAATAGTTAAGGGACTAAAAATGTCATAATATAAGGTAATATGTTAAAACCTACAAATCTAGTAAGGTAAAGGGTTAAAAGTGTCATAATATAAGGTGAAGGGTTTAAACTTTTAAATTTGACAAGGTGAGAGACTAAAAGTAAGCTTTTGCCTTGTATGCTTGTGGACTGTGGTGTCCCTCAATGTTCCAAAATTTCACATGCTCATAAGAAAAGTATATAGTTGTAACTATACATTTTGATTTAAAAAGAGGGTGGAATTTTTTTATTAATTAGATTGCAATATGTAAATTTGAATTGATAAAAAAAGTACTCCTTTCTTTTCCATTCTTCTCAAACCAAATATAATATAAAAGAAAAGTTTTGCTTTCTTAAGTTAAAATTCTACATTATGTGTATTATTATCGTTCAATTTTATATATTAATTTTTTATATTTTGTAATTTAATTTGAAAATTATTTCGCATGCACTAAATACTAATGGGTTGATATTATAGGTGCTGATTGAAGTGTAACTACAATTTGAACTCTTACCCAACACACACACACACACAAAGAACGAAAAGAAATATAATTTCTTTAGCACGAGAACATTATATCCTAAAGAAAAGTTTGTCAAAATTCCATCCTACCTTCTTTCCCTGTATATAAAATTGAAAAAGAAAGAAGCTTTTTTTGGAAAAGTTTCTGTTACTTGCAAGTTAAAAAGAGTTGGCATAGAAACGTGTAATGGGAGGGTTGAAATTGGGGAAGGCAAAAGGGGAAGAAAATGGCTACACCAGCCCAGCCGAGCATCCAAGAAGGTGTAAAGGCATTACTTGAGGAAACCGACTTTCCTTTATAAATATTCTTTTCTTTTCATTCACTTTTGATGCACAAACTTTCATGCAGCTTCTCTAGCTTTTGTGGGGGTGGAGCAGAAGCAGAACCCCTTTCAACGTGGGATATCATGGTGAAGATTAGATGCCTACACATTTCCACATAAGCTAAAGTCAACAGTGCTTTTCACCTTCAATGCCGTTGCATCGCATTTGGGGTTTTTCATTATGTCATCTCTTGTGGGGTCTTCACTGAATTGGAGTGTAATTTAAGTTTATGAAGAAAAACATTGTACATAAGTTGAATTTATAAGAGCAAATGGTGTGTTAAAGGAGCAATATATAAAATTTTCTAGATGAAAGAAGATGTCAAATTGCTAATCATAGCATTTTAAGAACTAATTCTTTCACACCATTAATGTGTTCTTGGAGTTAATTTGTGTACATTTAGATGTTATACTAATAAGAATTTGATCAAATCCATATTCAGTAATTTAAAATTTTTAATTTGAAATTAATAATAGAGATTTAAATATTTATTTCATCACAAGTAGTTATTAACTCCAAATCTACCAAGTGTTAAAAAAAGAGTTTTATTAAACCACGACATGTTAGATATTTTTGAACAAAAAACACTTATTACCTTACTAGTTAAAGCCTTATTGATTAAATTAATTTTATTATTTATTAAGTAATTAATATAATTCTTTTGGTGTATTAAGATCTTGTAACTTAATAGTTATAAATCATATTGAGAGTACATCCTTCGACCCTAAAAATTGGGGTTCGAATCCTTTACCTCTTATGTAATCTCCTATGTAATTCATTCATAAAAACTATATATAATTATTTTGGTAAAGCAAACTATGTAAGAAAAAATTAAAATTCGTTTGCATGCCAAGAATCAGCCAGGAATGAAATCATAAAAGCGTATACAAATGGAAAGTAATGTGTAAAGGCTAAGCGAAAGAAAGATAGGGCATTGCTTCACTTTCCCTCTTCATATCATGCATAGACCAATGGGGAAAAAGAAAGTTAGGACCAAAATAAATAAATAAAGAAAAACAGAAAGAGCTCACAGATTGATGAGATAATTACTCCACCATACAGCAGTGTAATCTGTCTCACTACATTTCCCAAGGTACTCTCATTGCATACCAAAAAAATTGTTTCGTAGCCTGACTCAATACAAAGTACACAACTATATCATTAATGGGGAAAAACCACCTAAATGTGGAGCCTTTCACCCAACAATTAATGATTAATTTATTGTAATTTAAGTGTAGTAGATGGCAAACATTATTCTCTATTGCATATCATTGGCAGGTGACTTCTGAAATTTATATTAATAATCTGTTGGTTCAATCGGGAAGAAATTTGATTTTATTTTTTTATTTTGAGTATTATGAAAGGAAGAACAAGTGTTAAAAGAGTTTTAATTTAATATAATTTAATTTTAAATTAATAAAAATTTAATGTGATTATTAAATATCAAAAAATTAATAAAAAAACTTTTAACATTTGGGTTTTCGGATTCAGTGATATCATGTCACTTATAAATGCATTTTTTTTTTCTTTGAATCCGATCTCTTATAAATTTGTTAAAAAAAAAAAACTTCTGAATTTTTAGCGTAGAAGAATTGCTTACTAATAATAGGCGACCTCGTGGGGAACGGCTGGCCGTGATGTGGCGCGCGTCGTTTTTTTTACAACAAATGCTTCGACAGAATACAAAGGGGCGTGAGCTTCGATCGACAACGCATTCCGCATCTAGAAGCACCGTCGGGCACCCGTGCACCATCGCACGACTTGGGGCATAATTTGCGTTCAAAGACTCGATCATTCACGAGATTCTACAATTCACATCAATTATCGTATTTTCACTACTTTTTTCATCGACGCATAAGCCAAAATATACGTTATCATACGTTATCGAGAGTCGTTTTTGTAAGCGTTGTAGGAGAAGCGTGTGGTGAAAAATTGCTTTTTGTCAAAAAAAATTTCAAAGTCTTAAGATTCTGAAAACAAAATTGATTAAAGAAAAATCGTGACACACGCCGCTGCTTAGCCGTCAGCTGACAGCTGACATAGGTAATGAAAGCGCGGGAAACGCCGCAAGGGCGGTGCCTGGCGGTGCTTAACACTTGCGCCCCACATAGACTAGATTTGCGTCACCGCCATTAGGTAAAACCAATTTTTATAATCCAAAATACAACATAAGTATTAACGAATTTTTTTTAATAATAATATGAAGAATTAATATTTAAAATAAATAAAAGAAGGTATACCAAATTAGGGGGTCAACAGTTTAATGTGAGCTTTTTTCACCATGACAAAGATTCGATTTCTTTCTCATCCCTCTCCTTTTGAATCCCTTATCCTAAAAAAAAAATTAAAATAAATAGCATGATATAAGTTATATTATTAAATAAATTAATAAATATAATATTATTTAGGG